CAATGTAAGCACAGTGCTGGGATCTTGCAATCGGGTTTCTGAAAGACAGCAGACATCAATGTCTAGGGAATCTAGGGTGCGCGCTAGACCGGCTTGCTGTCCAATCTGCATGAGTGTCCGGACGTTGAAGCACGCCAGACGGAACGAGGATCGGGGGCGAAGGAGAGCCATAGGTTGAATTCCTTGATCTGCGGAGCAACCGGAATCGCAGCCAGATTGTTGAACAGATGAATCGGGTAACCGAAAGTGAGGATTGTTAGCAAACAAACAATTGGCGTGTGATGGAGTAGCGTGAAAGTGAGTAGCAGGAACAGTAGCTGATGAGCGCGTTGTAGTGAAGTCCATGGTTTTGAGAGAGGGCGTGATACTACCCGGTTGCCCAAGCCGAAGTAGGGAGTTGACTTAGGGGACTCCACCCCGAGCCTTTGGCTAAATAACCTACCCGCAAGGCAGCGGGGCGAATTTAGGGAATCGCGCCCATTGGGAGGCGTTGACTGAATGATCAGCTCATGCGTCTTTGTTTGGTAGATTACCAAACAGGGGCCCAATACTCCCCATGAAGTCAGCACAATTGCTGGAATACAATGCCCCACGGAGGTGGAACATTGTCGCCGAACACTTTGCTGGAACGGGGTACACCCGAACCACCCAGCTGGCACCACGAGGAGGTAGTTCGGCAAGCCAGCTAATAATCCAATCGACCGGAATTGTTCGATTCCTTGCCGGCCAGTGATCGCCCTGCTCCCTGGGCTGTCCCTTTGGATCAACCCTCTCGATCAGAAGTCAAACGCGAGATCGCACTGTTGAAGTTGAACAAAGTCGCAGGACCAGATGATCTTCATCTAGGCCTCTTCCAATTTGGGGGCTCTGCTCTTGTTTATGATTTACACGCATTACTAGCGAAACTGTAGGAACAGGAAACTGTCCCTACCGACTGGAGTCGCTTCGTTATTCCCATCTTCAAAGCAGGCTGGCGTTCGGAATGAAGCAACCTTAGAGGAATCACTCTGATCTCCATCGCCTCCAAATTACTTACCTCCGTAATCCTTCACAGACTGACTGGTGCTCGTGAAAGCCAGATTCCGGAGCAGCAAGCCGGGTTTCATCGAGGTCTACGCTGCGTTGACATCTTCACCTTGCATCAGATGTTGAAGCACCGTCACACATATTGGCGGCGCACCATAGTCGTGTTCCTTGATATCAGATGTGTCTTCGATTCGGTTTATCCATGTGCCCTTTGAAACTGTCTACTCAGTAAAGGTGTGCCCGAGAAATATGTAAATATTGTCCGAGCATTATACGCGCGTACCACGGGCAGTGAGGGTTTACGGCGAGCTGTCGCCACCCTTCAATATCTCCAGCGGTGTGAGACAAGGATGCCCGTTGTCACCTTTCCTCTTCAACTTCGCTATTGACGAAGTCATGAAGATTGCATTTACGGGACATGACTTAGAAGGTGTGGAGCTACTCCCAGGAGAACTACTTCTTGACTTGGAGTATGCAGACGACATTGCCCTCATCTTGGAGAGCTCCCAGACGTGCCAAGCCGCGCTGGACAGATTAGCACTGGCTGTCAGCCGCTTCGGGCGTTGCACCATCGAAGTTCAAAGCGTTCCCCCAAGATTGGCAGGGATCGCCTCCTGCGCTGACCCTTGTTGGGATCAGCCAGAAGTCGTTCAGAAATTCAATTACCTGGGAAGTTGTATCATCATCATCCTCACTACACATTAGCTGGAGGTGGAAGACACCTCAGCTATTGTGCCGTAATACAAGAGACAAGAAAAGAAAAAAACAAACAGTGGCACGCCCGCTGAGTCCCCAGTAACGGATGGACATCGTTCCGGAGAGCTAACAGCTGGCTGCCGTAAAAGAGAGTCATATTATGCCTAACAAGCGAGATCGTGATTGGATAGGGATGCTAAACAAGAGGGGGATGGACAAAGGAACTCACAACACAAACGCCATTGGGGTCGGCTCCTAGCCATATCAGCAAGTGTGTCCAACCAAACATGTTCACCGTCCTTAGGACCCCAGCCAGGCAGTCGGGATGCACCAACCGACGCCAACTTCGAAGTGAGGATTTTCATTTCTCTCGACCAAGTAATCACTTGGCCTCCCCTCCTCCTTCCACCCGCACCCACAACGCGCAAACAATACACGTCGCGGGAGTCGGTGTGCTGGCATGCGCAACACGTGGCCCAACCATCGGAGCCTGGTGCGTTATATAATGGTGCTGAGCGGTTCACTCGCTCTTCCTGCACCAAATACGCGACGCCGAACACGCTCATTGCTCATGCGGTGTTCCCACCAGACAAGAGCTAAGCTGCGAAGGCAGCGATGATCGAATGTGACGAGCCTCTTCATGTCTGTCGACCTGATGGGCCAGGCTTTACAGCCATTTAGGAGAGTTGAACGGACGGCTGCGTTGTAAACTCTGCCCTTCAGGGCGAGAGTAATGTCGCATTTGCGCCACAGATGGCGGAGATTGGCAAAAGCACCTCGAGCTTTTGCTATGCGCTTCGTAACCTCATCTTCAATCCCACCGGTGCTAATATAGCTGCCCAGGTATTTGAATTCCTGAACGACTTCTAGCAGATCACCACCAAGCGTTAGCGCAGGGTTGGGTCCCTGCCAATCTTGGAGAAGTACTTTGCATTTCGATGGAGCAAAGCATAGCCCAAAACGATTGACAGCCAGTGCTAATCGGTCTAGGGCTGATTAACATGTTTGGGAGCTGTCACAGATTAGGGCAATATCGTCCGCATACTCCAAGTCAAGAAGTCGCTCACCAGGAAGTGGCTCCACACCTTTTAGGTCGTGTCCAGCGAACGCTGTTTCCATGACTTCATCAAAAGCGAAGTTGAAGAGGAAAGGTGACAGCGGGCATCCTTGTCTCACACCGCTGGTGATACTGAAGGGTGGCGAGAGTTTGCCATAAACCCTTACCCTGCCCGAACTATGTGCGTACAGCACTTTGATAATATTTACATATTTATCAGGCACCTTTCCTCAGCAGACAGTCCCAAAGGGCACATCGATCGACTGAGTCGAAGGCTCCTTTTATGTCAAGAAACACGACGACGGTGGGTCGCCAGTAAACATGGCGGTGCTCCAACACTTGACGCAATGTGATGATGTGATCGATGCAGCCCCGACCTCGATGAAATCCTGCTTGCTCTTCACGAATCTGGCTTTCACGAGTGCCAGTCAGTCTGTGGAGAATGACAGGCAAGCAATTTAGAGGCCGTCGAAATCAGGTTGATCCCTCTATGATTGCCACATTCTAAACGGGAGCCTCCCTTGAAAATTCGGACAATGACGGAAGTTGTATGAGCGTCCTTGGGATTGAAGGTGAGATTACTAACCATATATCAAAAGCTCGAAGTGCTTTTGCTAGTCTTCGCCACCTATGGCGGCGGCGCGACATCACTCTCCCCCTGAAGAGTAGAGTGTACAGCGGTACGTTCGACCTTACTGTACGGTTGCGAAACCTGACCCCTTAGATCAGTGGACATAAAGAGGCTGGTTGCGTTCGATCATCGGTGCTTTCGCAGTTTGGCTCACATCTGATGGGAACACTGCGTGAGCAGCAAGCGTGTTTGACGCTTTGTTTACGGCACAGGAAAAGGAACTGAACCGCTCAGCACCGTTATTTCACGCACCAGGCTCCGATGGCTTGGCCACCTGTTGCGCATGCCAGCCCACCGAATTCTGCGACGTGCGTTGTTTGCGCGCCGGGAGTGTGGATAGAAGAAGAGGAGGGGTGGCCAAGCGATGACTTGGTTGAGAGGAACGAAGGCCCTCACTTCAGAGCTGGCGTCGGTTGGAGTTTCACGGCTCTCTGGTTAGGGTCCAAAAGACGATGAACACTTTTGGCTAGGTACACTTGCTGACATGGCTAGTAACCGACTTCAGTGGCGTGAGTTTCTTTGTCCCTTTTAACCTGCTCCGCCAACCACGATCTCATTTCGTAGCGTAATATAACTCTACATTATTTTTCTTGTTGCCTAGTAACCGACTGGTAGGTTTCCGGAACGATGCCCATCCGTTGCTGGTAGCTCAGCTGGCATGCAACTGTAGTCTTTATTTTCTTTTATATATTGCGGCACAGTAGCTAAGGTGCTTTACACCCCTAGATAACGTGTATAATGATGGTGCTGGTGATGAGGCTCGAACCCGCATCCTCAGATTGAAAAGCAGGCTTATGATGCCTAAGGCTACGGGCTGGCAGAAGCAGACAATGCTTAAAAAAAGTGCCGTAAGAGCGGCAGGAGTGTGCACAGCAGCCTGAGTAGGTCTAGATTGCGGGCTGAAGGCGGTCATGTTTTTCGAGACACGCTTATCACTCTCAGTTTTGACAGCGTTCACAACGAAAACATAACCGCTGCGGTGGACAGCTGGAGATATTCGTAAAATTCCGGTTATGTTGCTGCAAGCAATGTGCAACCGGCCATCATAGAACATGCATCGTAGGCCTTCGAACGTAAAATGATGCTTTTACTGCAAGCGAAACACTTGGATACCATGGCTGGGTGCCGTACGATGCCGCGTACAAAGCCAGCTTCCGCAAGAACAAAGTAAAGGTGACTGATTTCAACTGAAATCAAAATTTTACTTCTGATACACAGTTCTGGGAGAAACTACTTCCAAAATAGTTCAAAGATAAATCTCCAGTGTGCAGGTATGCCAAGCAGAGTTTGTGTTTTGTGACACCTCATAACTAAGTAAGCAATCAATGTGGCCCACTTAGATAGCTACTGCCGTTTTCTTTCTTTTCTTCTCTGACTCCCATCAGGCAATACCAATTCTGCTCTTTCTTGGTTTTCTCGCTTTCCATCTCACCCCACCTTATATCCTTAAGGTTGGTGGTTTAGAACACGAACACTGCTCCCTATTTGCCCGTTTTCCGTGCTGAGCATGCATTTACCTCACTGGTTGGTTGCGTTTACGGCATGCAGTTGTCTGCGAGTATACACTTTGCGTTCCAGCCCATAAATTCTGTTACTGTCTATTTCGCTCATTGGATACAGAAGAGACTGAAATCCCTGATCGGACGCATACTACGCTCATGACTGTTGTGGTGAGTTAAAGTTGCTATTTGTACAATTTTCCCCATTCAGGAAGGGCATGTTCCTGCCCAGAGTGTAGCAGAAAGCGCAAGGGAAAAAAATCTCAATTTTTACCGTAGAAAACTTATTGAACATCGGGAGATAGACGCACGACTTAAAGAAGGTTTTTACTAGTTCCTTTAGCTTTATTTGTAGCTCGCGAAAAATCGAAAGCTGTGACGAAGGAGTACGAGAAAGCTGAGGATGATCTTAAGGCTCTACAAAGTGTTGGCCAGGTAAATAATGCTAATAGGATGTCTAGCTTACCGTTGTAGGTTGTGGGCGATGTGTTGAAGCAACTGACGGACGATCACTGTGAGTTGTTACTCAACCTCTGCATCTCACACCCGCAGTTTTCCCGCCTTATTTTTTATTTAACACGTTTTGGTTTATACTTTAGCCGCTTTTTGTCCACAAAGCTGTTTTGCCGAACATTTCTACGATCAATTCGACTACAATGAAATCGGCTTGCCTTAAATTTTACTTTGGTGTTGCGAGTTAGAGCTCGAATTACGGATTCATTTCTTGCGTTGTGGGAGCTGAGCTTCTAATTGGAAACGTGCTTTGTCTAATAGTTTTATCAGAACTTCCTTTCACCTCCCTGTTTCTAGTTAACTTGACGATCTAACGTAAACATAAATTCCGTGTTCCGGTATTTGACTTTTCACCTTGTGTAGGTCCAGCACTCAATTAAATATCTTACCTGCGGCTAGCTCGAATACTATAAATTATGAAGTTTCATCTCATTCGTTCAGTTTCTCTGTTATTCATGTTCATTACAACAGTTCTCGAAATTACAGGTGTAGGCACCACAAGTGAAGCTGGAGCGATGGGGGGGGGTCTCGTGACTATTCTTCGTTCAGTGTGTTTTCGAACCAGGAATTGGCTAGGTTCCTCGGAGTAACAATAATCTGAAAATGAAGCATCTGGATCAGATTTTGACGAACCATTTACTACGAACTGTACCGACGGTAGTATTCTGTCCGTTATCGAAAAAGCGACGTAATAAAGCATAGTATCGATCGGGGATTGAATGTGGCTTATCGCTTAATTGAAGAGTAACAGAGGAAGATTTTACAGAGAAAATCGAGTTAATATCATTAGTAAGATGAGTGAAGACAAAACTTACGTTTTGTTACCTAGGGGCAATGAACTCTTTAGACAAATCTAAAGTTAACTTACGGCAGTGCGTATTATTACAGTATTGAGGTGGGGTGGGCGTCCTCGCGGTATACTCAGCCCGCGCGCGACTGGTGGTGGTCGCGCGGCAGCGAAGCGCCGTTACGGCGTATAAGCTGACACATTGAGGAAACCTCCTCTCCTACTCCGTCATGACTTGTGTGTATTCCTGGAGTAACTGAGAAAACAAGAGACTGGCATTATTAAGTTGCCAAGATTTGCCTAATCTGATCATTTCTGCCATAGTCAATTCCCAGTATTCTAGCACTTCACTGACAGCCGTAAACCGAACATTCTCTCGGTACACATCTGTTCACACAACAACGATATTAACTTAGCTCCTACTTGTAAGACCCTGCTTTTTGTTTTGTCCCAGACTAACCTAGATTGCTTATTTCAGCTGGGTTCGCCTTGATCCCGTGGACACTTACAAACGGCCGTTCGGATTCCTAGTGTTCTATGCCCACACCAGCACATGAAATGATGGATTTGCAATTATCTGCTCACTCGTCTTGCTTTCTGGACTCCCTTCGGCCGAGATGCCAGCGGATGGGCATGCTGAGCTTCACTCCACCACACCGCAAACTACCACCATTCTCCATTTATTTAACCTGCCTGTTCTCAGCAACAATTTCCTTTTTCGAGTCTCCAAAAACGCATCGCAAAGAAAGGTGTTTCTGGCCGCATCAACGAGCCACGCAAAACCGATCCCACGCAATACAATTTTAACAGCAAGGCTTTAGTTGTACTCTGCTCGTTATTCAAGCTAGCTGCGTTTACTTTTAGGTTTCAAGCTGCTCTTGCGCGCACCTTGAATATCCTCTTCATCGATGTTTGCTATTTAACCGAAATCCATTTACAGGGATCCAGAACAACCCTGCGATTACTCTCACCATTCTGGAGTTCCGGTTGCACATTCGCCTCGCGCTTATCTTGAGACGCGACAGCTGCCGCCACTGGCTGCGTCGGCGTAGGAGTTGCGTCAAGTGCGCGTGTTGAGGCAGCGCTTATTGACTGGTTCTCAGTTAACAGCCGTCTTTGTACAGTCCACTAGGAAAACTCACTGGAATCCTCCGGCCACGCGACCGATAGACGGTGTTTATTCATTGTATCGGTGCACGCTCCCACGGACTGCAGCCCGGATACAGCTAAAGCTGTGTTCTACCGTCAACTCACCGACCTTTGCAAGAAACGCCACACGGACATCGTAGTGCTCTCCGGAGACCTAAATGTGCAGGTCGGTAGGCTAGCAATTCGTGAACTCGAAGTTGGGGGTCAACACAGCCACGTTACTCTCAGGACAAACAACGGCGATCGTCTTCATGTATGCGCTGACCACGGCTTGTTCCGTACAAGCACCAATTTCCGGCGTTCATGGCGCCAACGAGACACCCGGCGACCTTCTGCGCCCGGTCAAGCGTGAACGCATATTGACCACGTCGCTATTAGTTACTGATGGCGAGGCTGCCTAGCGGACTACAAGTCAAGTAGGTACAATTAATTGACATAGGATTATGTGCTCGTGTGTGCCAAGGTTATTCTGCGCTTTAGGGACACTCAACAGCACCACCGGAAACGGCTTGACACAGACAAGCTCGCCGCCCCAAATGTTCTCGGCGCATTTCAGAACACATCAGACCCTAACTTGCGTCCTCTGTCATTTGACGTTGAGACACACTGGGTACAGATTCAGAGCGCTTTACTAAAGTCCCCCGCTCTCGTCTATAGCTTCACTATACTGACTGCTAGCCATTGGATCTCCGAACAGTCTCACAGCAAAGCCGTCGAGCAATCCCACTTGGAGTTCTGTACACTGTACTGCGCAGAACCACAGAGGCTGAACTCGAACACCTTCTGTATGGGCACTTTACACTTCGACGGGACAAGCACCTCAATCGCCAAACGGTTTAGAATTGTCTGCATAGTCTGCGAGTCATCAAGTAAGGCGGTGTCATCACAGTCTTAGTGGGTCGCTCGATTACCCGGTATTAGCTGCATGCCAGGTTTTTTTTAAACCTGGACCTCTTCAGTCGCAAAATCGAAGCTAAATGGGGCATAAGGCAGCCCTGTCGTACACCGCTATTGATGGCGAAGTACGAAGAAAGCTTGCTATAGACCCTCACTCTGCCAGAGAACTGGAGGTAGAGTGCGCGTAGGATGGCGGTATACTTTTCCGGGACCTCCCTTAGGAAGCAACGCCACAACGCAGCTCCATCAACCGAGTCGAATGCAACACGGATGTTTAGGACTGCAACGATGATAGGTCTCTGGTAGAGGTGGCGATGTTCGAGAATTTGGCGGAGCGTGAAGATTCGATCCACACAACCACGGTCAGAGCAGAAGCCAGCTTGTTAGACCTGGTACTGTGATTCACGAATGGGAGATAGTATACGGAGTGGAATGGATGCCAATAACTTGAAGGCAACCGAAATGTGACTAATCCCCCGGGGATTGATGCATGGTACGAGCACCCTTATTAAAAATCGGGACAATAATTGACTTACTTCAAGAAGAAAGCACCTTTTTCATGCTAGATTCTGGAGCGCAATGAGGTTACCCAACTGGTGATAATTGCGCCTCCATTCTTGAGCAGCTACGGAGGAAGTTCGTCTGAGCCAGCAGCCTTAAATCTCTTCAAATATCGAATCGCAAGGCAAGCTTCCGCTTCATTGAGTGGATCAACTGTGACGACTCAGGACGGGCATCGCGATTCGCACGGAATACAAGTGGACGGTGAGGGTCACTTGAATTGAGGATGCAAATGTTCGACCCAACGATGCAAGCATCTCCACAGGTTGATAATCGGAAAACCATCCGCTTCGCAATTAGTCTCACTGGCACCAAGCTTCCTATGGCCAGTAGATTGAATGAGCTGAAAGAGCTTGCGAGCACTGTCAGAGAGGGCAGAGGCCTCCATTTCCGAAGTACGCTGAGACCAACAGGCTTCGTGACCACTGCGTAGACTTTGTTTGACCTGCCGACTGACAGAACGGCGCGCACTTCCTTATGATTGGACTGCGTTAGAATATTTTTGCGGCCGTCAGATAGATCCGTGGAGCGCGTAGAGATCCAGGCTTCGTAAGGTGCTAAGACCAAAGACAGACTGTTCGCAGGAAATCATGGTCTGCTGCGTGAACACCCAGTGTCCATCAGTGTCTTGAGATAGGTTGTAGCTGAGCGCACCGGCGATGGAAGATTTAGTGCTTTGCTGAATCGAGGGGGTAGATAGTTTATTCGTATGCACCTTACAATGCTTCGTTTTCGGGGACCCTCCGAAACTCTTGCAGATGTTCGCACAGACAAGAGCTTAGTCTGAATCAAGAAATATGGACCAGGTGGATCTTCAATCCACTACACTACCCCGCCATTAGAAACTGCTTGCAATATGATCAATCTGAGACCATGATTTAGTCGCAAAATGAGGGTGCCAGGTTGAGGAACTCCTCCTCGAATGCCTAAAGCTGGTGCTCGAAAGGAATAGACGATTGTCTTCACACAGTGTGGGAAATCTCTCCGTTATCTAAGCGGCCCTCATCGAGCGCATAGTGACTTCCGAGGTGACTTTCACATGGTACTAGACAACCAACGTGCCTTGTGATCCCCAGCAAGGACATCAGTATCGGATTTGTAAGCTCTGCTCAAGCGCTGGTGAAATTCACGATTAGAGCCGTCCTTGACCGAATCACAAGTGCAGTCATTTGGAGCGTACACTGAGATCACATAAAAGTTACGCTTAGCCTCACGACGTCGGTTGATCCTGCATGATCTCCAAAGTCCAACTGCAAACGGTCGGCTATTAATCGGGAAGCAGTCTAGCAGTGCGTGTTCTGCTTGTATTATGTTTACGACTGATGAGGATAATCGAAATGTCGATATATCGCAACCTAAGTTTTCTCTCTTTTGGCGAAATTACTAAAGAGGACACTGTTTTACTCCTATAATATCTTTGGAATTACTCAAGAAGCTCGTGCTTGCTTACTTCCGCGTACCATGTAAGATGCACGTACAGAAAGCACTGGACTATCTTAAAGTTGATTTACTAGTGACAGTTGAAGCTGTACCCTTCGAAAGTCTCTTATTTAATATTACACTTTCATTGATTGGTTCATAAACTCTTTGATCCACCGAACATCAGTTGGCTCTCTGGTGGAACTGTAACAAGTGTCCCCAGATTTTTCAGTCCATAAACTTTGTCGCAGTACGAGGTACATCATTGTAATTTGTAGATACTTTCACTCTTAGAGGCGTTACCCATAAACTCAGTTTACCTAGTTTCATTATGCGTTCGTCTGGTGATATTTGGATCATCGACACTAGCTATCCAGTGTTTTGAAGTGAGTGCGAAATTGGTTCTCGAGCGAATAACTTTCTCTTAACCTCTGATGAATGTGGTCATGTCGGCCGATTTGGTTACCACTTGCGTTTGCATAAATCACCATCCTTATCAGAATGGATCTCAGGCATATTGAGGCTAGTTACAAGTTTTGCAAGTTTTATGACGTTCCGTTTGTTTTATTACTCAGCTTAACCCTTTAATGCATCATTCTGGACCACACTTACTCTTTAGTGCACCATTTATCTTAAATAATTTACGTAACAGAGGAGTAGTAGGGGAGTTAAATGGTCTAGGGTCTGATGGAATACGCACTACTGACGATTCTCGAAAGAATGAAACGCGCGTACAGTGCTTTTCCGGGCGTGTGATGGCTATCTGAGTGAGTTTAGATAATTTACGTTACTTTTCGACTGCTGCCTTCTTACTGTCCTCTACTGTAATCCAAAGTTTCGAATACACCTGCTATCCATTGAAGCAGGCCATAATAACGTTTTTCATCCTTTAATCGTCTTACTGATTTATGTAGAAAGCCTCACTTTCACTTTCCCAGTTATCGTCAAGGCAAGCAACGGTCCTCGATACGTTGTCGGTTGTCGCAGAAGCCTTCAGACAAGCAAGTTGAAAGCCGGGACTCGAGTTGCCCTTGACATGACGACTTTGACGATTATGCGCCAGCTGCCCAGGGAAGTTGATCCACTTGTTCACAATATGTCATCCGAAGATCCTGGTGAAGTATCCTATCATTCAGTTGGCGGGCTAACCGATCAAATCAGAGAGCTCAGGGAGGTTATTGAACTGCCCTTAATGAACCCGGAGCTATTCGTCCGCGTCGGTATAACTCCTCCAAAAGGCTGTCTGCTATATGGACCACCAGGAACCGGAAAGACTCTTCTGGCCAGGGCAGTGGCATCACAACTTGATGCAAATTTTTTAAAGGTAATCTTTTGGTATCCATTTTTATCAAATCTGCTCTCATGACTCCTATTGACGTCTTGCTTACTTATTAGCTAAATTATTTGGCTTAAAAGTCGCAGCGGGAACTCCTCATATCTATATTCGGCTTCATGTGTATTCGACTTGCTTCTGTACCTTGTTCGGACAATACATCTTTTCCCTATACCTATTCAGAACCGCCTAATTAACATTCCGCCCAACCGATGGTGACATCCGCTAACTTCCTCGATCGGACACAGTGTAGTTACCACATATTGTGTACTTGCTTTCTGCTCATGGTGCTTTAGATGTTCGCCTCAGTTTTTTTTCCCTACGTAAGTCTGAGTAACTTAGCAGCGTAGTGTAGTCCACATGACACAATGTTTATTTCCTCCCTCTATCACTCATAAAGGATAATTAAATGCACACTATCTGATCCAATGATGAGCAAACTGCTTCCAAGTCCGTCGTTATTTCTACTACACCGCTTTCATTTTCATATCGTTTAAGTCCCTGTTCGATCAGGATAATGACTTATCGGTCGGTGACCGGGTGGATAGTCTTTAACTTGTAACTCGCAGGTCACCGGTTCGAGTCTGTGGGTGGCCTGGCAGTCTTCCTCTCCATCCCGCGATTAGTGGAAGTCGCGAGGCAACAAAGCGGCGGCACGACGCACTGGATTACTGCTGATGCCTTTATTGTTTCTTTCCCCCTAGCCAGTTCTGGCTCTTTTACCATTCAGTTGGCCATGTCGCAACTTTTCTTCCTAACCGACTATTCTGGTCCACATCATAATCAAGACAAGCTATAGTTTGCAATTGCCTTCCCCCAGCTTGCTAATCTTGATCCGAGTTTGTACTGCTGCTCCGAAATGTGCGTCTGGGCCGAGCATTTGTTTGAATGTGAAAAAACCTATCCGTTTTTTGTTTACCACCTATCGGTAGCGCTCCCAGCTCCGATTCCAGACCCGCATTACTTCATTCGTAATACTGCGCTACGGATACACTTGCTGCCATGACTAAGAGCCGACCACAGTGGCGTTCCTGTTGTGAGTTTCTTTGTCCCCATCTCTTTTAGCCTCCCCCTCCAACCACGATCTCATTACTTAGCTTAATATAATTTTGCATATTAAATTTTTTGCTGCATAGTAGCCGGCTGGTAGTTTAACGGAACGATGCCCACCCAGTACCGGTAGCTCAGCTGGCTTGCACCTGTTGCATTTGACTCTCTTTTTTCTTTTAGATATTGCAGCACAGTAGCTGAGGTGCTTCCCACCTCTAGCTAACGTGTATAACGATGATGATGTCTGCGCTTCGCCTCATCACACCCGCTAGTGCGTCACTGAAACCCCTCCTATCATAAGAGAACCTGAACCGTACCATCTTACTTCATCGCTATGGAAAAATGTTGGCGACTCACTAGTAGTTAACCTGATTACATTTTAAATACTGTTCGATGCAAAGAGGAAGTTTCTCTTGTCTGGCGAATATCAGCTACTATTCTCATTTATAACGAACCAAAAGACTTGAAACCCTGCTGCACAGGGGAAGTTAGGGCGCTGCACTCTTGGACACATACTTCGCAATACGTCGTAGCTGGCTCAATGAGTTTCTTACTTTCTCGTGACACCGCACAATTTCGAAGTTATTCGACCGGTTCATTCATTTAGGTAACAATTTATGATAATCGGAAGATTTCTGTTTTTGTTTCCCCGCTAATACCCATGGGTTTTCCAAACTCTGAACGACCTGTGTTGACGTCCAGACATCATGTTATCGGTAACGGTCAGGGTACTTAATGATGTGGTGCATCCATGTGGTATGGTTCTTTCAGTGCTCACGTGCCGCATCGACAATCCTGACATCCATGTGCATTACTTTGCTCCCGGCTGTAGGTTGATATGTTCCATTTTGCTATTTTCGTTGCACGAAGTCTTTGAGGTCGAACGATAAGCACCAATGGCAAACGGTGCCTCAACACCGCCGGAGAAACCGTTCAGCGCCTACGGATTTGGTTGGACTGATAAAGAAAGTGCTGTCGACTACCCCATGCGCTCTGCTCACTTCGGTTTGCGAAGAGTGCGCTCGAACATGTCCAAAAATCTCTCCTATCATCTGTTGGGGAATGAAACGAGTGTGTTTGACCTGTCGCACTTCACATTGATGGCTGGAGCGAATTACGCTCCGCTTACTGTTATGTGTTTCTGGGCATTGAGCCTGCTGCAGTGTCGTCGCAGCCTTGAGACAGAAGCGTTGGCTGTTGTATTTCTCATGGGGAGTGCATTAGCCCCTTTCTTGTAATAAGCCGACGATAACCGTCGATATGCCCTGCGAAATTCGCAAAGACTCAAGGCCGTACTCTCGTCGATATGGGCTACAACATGGGGCCCGAAATTATCGCACAGCTGTTACACTGCTGGACAAAAGGTTCCAATCGCCTTCCCATGGAAGGACAATATATGTAGTTGTGTGCAAACATATTTGTCCGGTCAATATTAGAATGTTGTGGATGAAATTGCTGCGAGCGCTCCTTTGTAAGACCTTCGGAATAGCAATCCCATCCGAAAATAATTTACAGATGTAAGTAGTTGAGAGTACCACATGTATTAGCATTGCTGTAGCTGGGCGGCTTTACACGATTATGACCACCTGGCTCTGTGGAACTAGAGGAGCATCCGTAGTAGATTCCGCAGTATTTGAGTGAATCTGCGATAATAGACAATTTTTGCAGTGCACAATTTAGAAGAAAGTATACTTCTGAGTCAAACTCAATCGAAGCTATGTTGGCCGGTGACTTGCTTTGTACTCCCGAGGTCCCCGGTTCGAATCGTTATAGATGCAGGCGACGTTATGATATACCCAGCGCATGCGGGACTGTGGATGGTCGCGTTAAAGCGAGGCGTCGGTACTATGTGCCGGCGCACTGGTGACATCCCTATTATATATATATATATATATATATATATATATATATATATATATATATATATATATATATATATATATATATATATATATATATATATATATTTATATATATGGCGGGAGAGCAAGTGGTCCTCTGAGTCTGGTGATGGCTAGATCCTGACAGATGGTCTACCCACTACTGCTACTGTTGTGCCATTGGCTCATGTCCTGGACGCCTCGTGGCGACCACTGGGTAGGAGTTGGGGTACGCCCTTCTCCCTGCTAACATCCAGGACACCAATCCGCATGAGTAAGTGAACTGACCATGTGCAAGACCCGCTGCCTTTCGGGTGTACATTTAATAGAAGGCTTTAGCTGAGGACCCGAATCGTTCTCCTGTCAGATGTGGGCGCCCTGCCAATATCTTAGTCCATCCTCTTCGGAGGTTAGGAAGTGGTCGATGGCCCTCTTCCCCTAAACCTAGCCATGGGAGACAACAGGTCTACGGGTTATAAGCTCACAGCTTGATTGGCGTAGAGCACGAGCGCCACGCATTGTCTCTGACGGTGGGAGGACACCTCCGGGTGTTCAATGGTTTGTTACTGCCAGGCTTTACGAAAGGGCGATCCTGCATCACCAACTTGATGTACGCAAACCACCAGTGGGTTCGAGCTCTCAATGAACAGAAGAATGTTGACGTGGTCTACATCGACTTTAGTAAAGCGTTTGACAGAGTGAACCATGAGGTACTCCTTCGTAAACTGAGGACATCCGGAATCGGTGGCACGTTACTTCAGTGGATACAAGAGTTTATTGTGGGACGAAGGTTTAAAGTACAGGTCAATGGCTATCTGACAGAATGGTTCCCATCGACCAGTGGCGTGCCTCAAGGAACTGTACTTGGGCCAGTATTATTTCTAATTCATATCAACGATCTTCCGCAGCAGCTCCAGTCACCATGTACCCTGTTTGCAGATGATTTGAAAATCTGGAGGATCATTGAAAACCAAGGCGACTGCGCTCGCCTCCAGCATGACTTAGAGCGACTGTCAACGTGGTCCACTGAAATGCAACTCCCTCTTAACGCAAGCAAGTCGGAGTTCATCAGTATCACCAGACGTCCAGCCACTCGATCATACACCTTGGACGGCCAGTTGCTCTATCTCAACACATCTGTCAGAGACTTAGGAGTTCTCTCACGACATGATTTAAGATCACTAGAAAATACAGAAAATTATTTGAAGGGTGTTTGTGAGGAACGTAAGTATCGTAGAAGGCAGAAGTCACGATTAAACTCCACACGAAAATCTGCCTCGACGGGGAATCGAACCCCGGTCCACGAATTTCCGGTCCGTTGCTCTACCACTGAGCTACCGAGGGCTGACGATTAGGTGCGGAATTTAACACGTGACTTCTGCTTAGTGCGCGACGTATTGCCAATGAGCTCACAGTAACTGTCCTGGTGTTGCAGATCGGCTCACTCACTCGTCACTTCCCAGTGGACCGAAGTAACTGTCCATCCGAAGTCCAAAGGGCGATGGTAGATTATTTGAAGGGTGTTTGTGAGGAACGTAAGTATCGTAGAAGGCAGAAGTCACGATTAAACTCCACACGAAAATCTGCCTCGACGGGGAATCGAACCCCGGTCCACGAATTTCCGGTCCGTTGCTCTACCACTGAGCTACCGAGGGCTGACGATTAGGTGCGGAATTTAACACGTGACTTCTGCTTAGTGCGCGACGTATTGCCAATGAGCTCACAGTAACTGTCCTGGTGTTGCAGATCGGCTCACTCACTCGTCACTTCCCAGTGGACCGAAGTAACTGTCCATCCGAAGTCCAAAGGGCGATGGTAGATTATTTGAAGGGTGTTTGTGAGGAACGTAAGTATCGTAGAAGGCAGAAGTCACGCACTAAGCAGAAGTCACGTGTTAAATTCCGCACCTAATCGTCAGCCCTCGGTAGCTCAGTGGTAGAGCAACGGACCGGAAATTCGTGGACCGGGGTTCGATTCCCCGTCGAGGCAGATTTTCGTGTGGAGTTTAATCGTGACTTCTGCCTTCTACGATACTTACGTTCCTCACAAACACCCTTCAAATAATCTACCATCGCCCTTTGGACTTCGGATGGACAGTTACTTCGGTCCACTGGGAAGTGACGAGTGAGTGAGCCGATCTGCAACACCAGGACAGTTACTGTGAGCTCATTGGCAATACGTCGCGCACTAAGCAGAAGTCACGATTAAACTCCACACCTAATCGTCAGCCCTCGGTAGCTCAGTGGTAGAGCAACGGACCGGAAATGCGTGGACCGGGGTTCGATTCCCCGTCGAGGCAGATTTTCGTGTGGAGTTTAATCGTGACTTCTGCCTTCTACGATAAATACAGAAAAATTGTACCGTGCGGGACTTCGTATGCTCTGGGCATTAAGACGCATTTTCTCCACATGGTCCGAAGAAACCGTCCCTCGTCTATTCACCTCGCTCATTAGACCAATCCTTGTATACGGTGCCCCAGCTTACCATCCGATAACCCAATGGGAAACTGAAAAGCTGGAGAAAATACAGCATATCGCAACTAGAATGATACCAAGTCTACGAAAGCTTCCGTATGAAAAACGTTGTGAAAGGCTCGGACTCTACACACTATCCTATCACCGAGTAAGAATTGATCTTATTATGACCCATCGAGTACTACACTTGAATCACTTCCCCATACTGCGGCCAATATTTCATCTGCGAGAACCACATAACACCCGAGGACATCGTTACAAACTCAGGGTCCCCAGGATGAACAAAGTATCACATCAGCTTTGTATCGAACGAAGAATCGTAAACTTATGGAATACACTACCTGAAGGATTAATAGAGGCCGATTCTGTAAAGTCTTTTAAAACCCGTATCGACGATTATTTTGGAAACCTGTGCTTTTGTGAAACGGTGCACATACAGTGCCAAAAGAAGACATTGTATGTCCGGAAATAATGACGCTAGTACAAATTTCTAACCTAACACGGATTAACGATTAACGGACCAGACACAACTGCTGATAATTCACAAGTAAATTTTGATTTTTCGTAATTCGATTGGGTTGTACAGAAACCTTTCTACTTGCTCTTAAATACAGTCTCAGTCTCAGTATTCTCTAATTTGCTCATGAACACATCAGCTAGTAGCGGTCCAAGCGGTGAGCCCATTGCTACTCCATCTTTTTGTCTGTATATGGCCCCGTTAAACTGAAATTGTATGTTACTAGTACACAGCAAGAGTAGCTGTTTCAATCGATCACGGAATATTGGTTAGAAGAGACAATAGACTATATATGTGACACCGTTCGAGACCATCAATTGGGCATCGGCTTTTCAAGTGACCTACTACGTCCTCGTGACCAATTGTAACCTTCATTACCATGTGGTATTAGGTCATCTAGCACTGTTTTTTATCATTACAACTTCATTCCGGAATTGCGCTACTTCAACAACAATGAAGTTTGCTTGTCCCTTGGAGCGCTTAATCGAACGCGATCGTAAAGTTTGCCATATAGTCCTGCTGTTAATTTCAGCTCAGTCGTATGCGTTTTGAAACAGTTTCACAACTGGTACATCTCGCTTCATGGTCCTAATTATTTTCACCTACTCATGCGGAATCCTCCTACTTTTGATTCACTAATGATGTCATCTTAGTTCGTTTAAACAAATGCCGTCTTTCATATGTTCATCTTGTCACATGTCCCAACAGGTGGTCTCTAGTAGTATCGTGGACAAATACATCGGCGAATCAGCTCGACTAATACGCGAAATGTTTAACTATGCTCGTGATCACCAACCGTGTATCATATTCATGGACGAAATTGATGCTATAGGGGGTCGACGATTTTCAGAAGGAACGAGCGCCGATCGCGAGATTCAAAGAACGTTGATGGAGTTACTAAACCAGATGGACGGTTTTGACGCACTGGGTCAAGTGAGTTTTCGATGCGCATCGTTCCGCGTTTTTCTATCATATGGAACCGCAAAAGTGGCCGCTGTTCATTGTTTTATGCGCGTCAACAGCTTCGGTAGCTTAGATTTCCCCTGTCCGTTTCATCTGCGATGGGTGAAACATGGCATTATGTACCAACCATTTCGTTACATCGAAAGCCCGAGTAGCAACCAAAGATACTTTGGATGAGCAACTCAAATCGTGTAACATTTTCGTCTGTGTAGCGAATAGCTTCAATAGCATTTACCTCTGAAATTACTGTACGCATCTAGCAATATCTCCTCCGAGGTGTTCGTATCCAAATAACATTCTGCGCAAACATAAGTATTCACTGATACAAATATAACTATGTTTGAACAATTCACTGGCACTTTGTCTTTCGGTGGCGGCGGGTTCACTAGTCATTATGGACTATCGTAGATACTGAATACATGCATTTACTGTTGTAAGAAAGGCACAAAAGTCTACCGCCGTGAGTGAACCGGGGAGTATCCTTTGGAGAACCCCGAAACAGCAGGTCTCTGTCCTTTTCAAGGGCACACTCAACCTTTGGTTTTATCGCGAACTTTTAAACATTTCTAGATGGAGTTACGCACACCGGTGGCATATCATTTTCGCACCGTTAACTTTTTGAGTTATTTCATTCGTTGAAAGAAATCATGCCCATTATGAAAGATGATTCATTCACGGAATCGTCGATCACTGCTCATTTTCACGCGCAGAGATGATCACGTATCGCGGCATATCCTTAGCGCTTGTGCTACTGAAACAGCAGCACTCTTCCATCTGGCATGCACATGGCCTCGGCTGATACTGCATCGACAGCCCTCATATTCTTCCATCGACTAGGATCCAATTGCACCTTTCTGTAGACGCTTGCGTTCATTTTTTCGATTAGCACAGCAGATCACCTCAATCATATAATCGGATTCATGGTTTTCAATTTCCAGGTAAAAATGATTATGGCAACCAATCGCCCGGACACACTCGATCCCGCCCTGCTTCGCCCTGGTCGACTGGATCGTAAGATTGGTAAGATTGACTCGATAAACCAGATTTCACATTGCGATACCCTGATACTTGCCATTATTTGTTTCCAGCCCATAGCGATTCCGATTTACGGTGCTATACAAATTGCTGCAAAGCACAGTTGTCTGCGGCAATTGCCGTTACATTTTGGCATTCACTTATCGGTTTATGTGATGAAACACCATTGAAAAAAGGAAAGGTGCTGGGCGTTTCCGCTCCAAATTCTTTTCTCACAATATTTGTGCATTTCGAACCCGTTCCTATCACTTTTGTAAATCGAAACCCTTCGGCTTCGCTTTTTTGTCTACTCGGGTGCACTTTGGATAGCGCAACTCGTTTTTTTCGACATCCTGTTGTGGTGAGGGATGCCGTGCTCACGTTTGCTGGCCATCGCTGCATAAAGTCAGGGTGTTGTGCGAGACGAAATGTCGTGTTGATGGAGTTTCAGCAAGCCAATGACTGCTTAACATTATATATATATATATATATATATATATATATATATATATAGTGTTATAGGAATCATGGCGGAACAGGAAAGCAGGATTAGAGTAAGAGATAACAAAAGACAAAGAATATTTTATCCATTTCCCCACTCACTTCTTGAGTTCATTTTTGTTGATTTTTATTGGGAGATCACCGCAAGAAGCAGAGATACACGATCGCCACTGAGTTCGGTTTTGCGCCATGGCTTCTAAGGTTTCAAACCACCGGCACTCAGCATCTTTGGGACCCCATCCAGTGAGTCGAGAAAAATCAACCGAGACCAGCTGCTTTGTCAATTTTTTCATCCTGCTTCTCCAGGTTGTAGGCTGTCCACCACACCGCCTGCTCCAGCCCTGTCCAGTGACCACGAACAAAGCACGACGCGGAAGACCCTGAACTGGCGTAAGCAGTACCTGTCCGTCATCGTTGTTGGCGTAGCGAGACAAGCGCCTCGAGGGAGTGGAGTAGTTAATTGCGTACGATACACTTCTAATCTCGACTTGATCGCTACCCAAGAAGTGGGTCTTTGTCGTCGTGGCCTACTTGGTGTGAAGTGCTTGTTTACCTATAGATGCGCATACTGATGTCGCTCGAGCCACTGTTCAGTTACAGTTGCATAGACCGTTCTTCCTCGCTCCAGCTAGTAGTCTCCATTACCTGGTGACAACACCGATGGCCTGTCATTGATCCCTCGTACATTGTGAGCTCTCGCTCATGTGTCTTTACACATTTGGATGTCATTTAAATCATGAAATATTCTTTCCATGGGAAATATCTTTTCAGCCGTACTGCAGTGCTTTAGCAGATGCCATCGCTGTATGCCAACGCTGGTTAGTTTACCTGTACAATCAAATAGTAGTTCCTGCTCCACAGGTCCATGAAAATTGCTCAAACGAATATCTGCACTAATCATCGTCATCATTATACACGTTAGCTAGAGGTGAAAACACCCCATATATTGTGTAGCAAAAGAAGCAAAAAGGGCAAGAGGCACGCCAGCTGAGCCACCAGTAACGGATGGTCATCGTTTCGGAAAGCTACCAGCCGGTATTGTGCCGCAAAAAGTATTTTATGCAAAATTTATCTTATGCTAAGAAATGAGATAGTGGTTGGAGGGAGAGGCTAAGCAGGAGGGACATTGAAACTCACAATCCGAACGCTACTGAGGTCGGCTCCTAGCCATGTCAGCAAGTGTATCCAGCCAAAGGTGTTCACCATCTTTCGGCCCCCAACCTGGCATTCGGGACACACCAACGGACACCAAGTTGGAAATGAGGGTCTTCATTTCTCAGCTCATCACTTGGCCACTTCTCTTCTTCCATCCACACCCCGGCTCCAAAACAACGCACGTCGCGCAACACTTGGCCCAGCCATCGGAGCCTGGTGTGTGAAATAAAAGGCATCAGCAGTACGCCGGTACGCAGTACCGACGCTTCGCTGCCGCGCAACCACAACCGGTCGCACGTGGGCTAAGAATACTGCGAGGGTCACCCTGCCCCTGCACAGGCTCGACCCCACGCCGTCAGATTAAAAGATACGCTCGTTACATTTAGGATACGGCCAGCTGTGTGGAATAACGATGCGTAGCGGTTCATTTACTGTTCCTGTGTCATAAACAGGACGTCGAACACGCTCATTTCTCACCCGGTGTTCTAACCAGATATGAGCCAAACTGCGAACACACCGGTGGTCGAACGTAACTAGCTTCTATGTCCGCCGATATAATGGGCCAGGTTTCACAACCGTACAGCAGGGTCGAACGTGCGGTTACATTGTACACACTAACATTCAGGGAGTGATGTCGCGCCGACACCATGAGTAGCGAAGGTTAGCTAGAGCGTCTCGAGCTTTTGCTATGCGGTTTGTGACCTTCAATTCCGCAGGCGCTGATACAACTGCCCTGGCAGTTGAATTTTCGAACGACTTCTAGCTGATCCCTACCAACTTTCGGCGCATGAGACGGTCCCTCCCACTCTTGTAGGCAAGCTTTGCACTTGAGGGTACAAAGCAAATCCCGAAACGATTGACAGCTGATGCTAATTTATCTAGTGCTGTTCGACATGTTTATGAGCTGTCACAAATGAGGGCAATGTCGCCAGCATATTCTACGTCAGGAATTCGTTCACCTGAGAGCACCCCCACACCTTCTAAGTCATGTCCATGACTTCGTTGATGAAGAAGTTGTAAAGGAAAGATGACAGTAGGCATCCTTGTCTTACACCGCCGGAGATATTGAAGGGCTGCGACAGGTTGCCGTAAATCCTCACTCTGTCCGAACTCCGCGCGTATAGCGCCCGGGTAATATTTATATGTTTTTCGGGCACACCTTCTAATGAGTAGACAGTCCGAAAGGGCACATCGACCAACCGAATCGAAGGCACCTTTAATATCAAGGCACACGACAACAGTGGGCCGCCAATATATGTGATGGTGGTCCAACATTTGACGCAAAGTGAAGATGTGGTCGATACAACCCAAACCTCGACGAAACCCGTCTCGTTACTCAAGAATCTTGCTTTCACGAGTGCGTCAGTCTGTGAAGGATGACAGAGGCAAGCAATTTTGAGGCGATAGTGATAGGACTATGCCATTTTCCATTGAAGTTGGACATTCGGGCAAAACATTTACGCTTGGGGGTCAACGGGGTTGCTCCTCCGGGGCAATCAAGTTGAGTCTTCGCTATGCGGAATAGAACCACTCACTGGCATGGTAGGGGCTGTTTCATTGGCCAAGCGCCTGAGGTCCTATTTGCTGAAGGCGCTTGGCCCATGAAACAGCCCCTACCATGCCAGTGAGTGGTTCTATTCCGCATAGCGAAGACTCAACTTGATTGCTCCGGAGGAGCAACCCCGTTGACCCCCAGGCGTAAATGTTTTGCCCGAATGTCCAGCTTCAATGGAAAATGGTATAGTTCGTCTATGGTTGCCACATTCCGAACGGGAGCCTCTCCTTAAGATTTGTACTGACGGAGCGGCTTCAGACGGTTGTGACAGTTTCCTTTTTTCACATTTTCACTAGTAACTCGTGTAACTCATCAACAAGAGCAGGTCATATCTACACTAACACGGTTTACGGAGGACCGCCTCGTAGACAGAAATATTGGTGGACTCTTAAGTTCCGCTTCGTGTGCCGGTACCCACCCGATCGAAGCTCCTATATTTAGAGCGGAACATTTCTCATTGCTGACGCTTCGTCTCCTTCATTCGTACTATCAAATGCCAGTGGATATCTAGCTAAAGGCGTGCTTAGTTTTCCAAATTTCTCGCATTGCCTGCAACTCTTCGTGTGAGCATCTAGAGTAAAGTTTGCTCACTGTATGGGCCACGGCATGTACCTTTCATGACTTCCCCCTTCAACCATAATCTCTCTCTTGACGCATACTATGTTACTAAGCAGTGTTGCCCTTTTTGCATTCTATAATTTTCCGTATCTAGCTGTTTTGCATGCCTTACCTTTTTGTATTGCGGCACAATAGTTGAAGTGTGTTTCTCACCCTCAGGTAATGTGTAATAATGATGATGATGACTCAACGTCCTACCCTTGTTAGGTCAGTTGGGGTCTTACCGGTGCTCGCGCTTCGCGCGGTCATGCAATCACCAACAGATGCATGCAGATATTGCGAGGTCACCAGTGCTTACACGGCATCGAACCGACGATTACAAGTCAGATACTCAAACTACTCCGCTCCCGGCGGACTGAATTTCCTTACGTCCTAGATACAGCAATGATGGTGCTGTTGGACGTTCATACATTGTAAAGTCAAACTTGACCAGGTGCGCTGCAGCACACCACGACTGCGGCGATGGGGTATGACATATACTGCATCCTCTCGGGTACAGACACTAAAACAACGATAAAGGGACCACTGGTTACTTGAAAAGGGACTGCTGGTATTGGGATAATGTTGGTTATTTGGGGTTCCATTACCACATACTCATTTCGACATAGTAGACATCAGGCAGCCGACATGACAAATTAATGCATGAACATAGACTGTATGGGCCTTAATCGAGTTAACTGCATGCATGACACCACATCGACAGCTGGGATAAACACTGGATACTGCAGGAACACACGTAGATTTCTATTCAAGAATAAACCCTTGAATACTCCGATCACTAGCATTATTGCGGTATTCCTCTCAGCCTTACCCGCTTCCATATTTTAATGTTATGGTGACGCAAGTGGATTCATCGTGGGCCGGTGTTTTAATCGCAGTTCCACTGCGATTGTTGACTTATGTCACGTAACACCTGCACTGATATCATAAGTGCTGACGATTCCCTCGATCGTACGTACAAAACGATTTAGCCTGTTTCGAGGCAATGAACAAGCAGGTGTCTGTGCCGGCCACACTGGGAGATTTCAAGTGAATGTGTTCTCTTCAAATCCACTGGGTATGGGTCTGTGTTTGCCATTTGTTTTGACCAACTAACTTTTAACAAGATTTTCCTTAGCTTTCCTAGGCGCCTACATCTCCTGTATTGAAAATTAGCTAACCGATCCTAATTCTCTACCGTACCGATACGTCAATGCCATTTACTCCTTTTTCATGACACAGTAAAATATCCAGCTTTCTAACCCTCGCATGCTTCGCGTTGTGATTATGTTCATTCAGCTATTTCGTTACTCAACCAACTCTTTGTTATTCATTCAGAAATCCCCCTCCCAAACGAGCAGGCTCGCATGGATATCTTAAAAATACACTCCGCACCCATCTCAAAACACGGTGAAATAGGTCAGTTCAATTGATGTTTTTTCATGTACGATGTTCCCTTGACAAATTTCAAAATAACAAGCAAGTACATTCTAACAGAGTACTTTGAATTCATGTATTTTTGGCGCTGTCATCAACTGGTTACACACACAATGCTCCAGGTTATCGTGTTGCGTACAAAAGGAAACAATGGTGTTCTTTTATGTGATACCGTAGACCATACAAAATTCTCCTGAATTTGAAAGCATTTACTAACACCTATACACCCTCTCATTATTTAAATAAGTTACAATTATAGGAATACCTTTTCCAGTTGAATGATCAGAGGTTTGACTACACCGGTTTGTATGTTCTGGGAAGCGCCGGATATGATGTAATGGTTTCCGCAACTCTGATCTACCGAACCCCACTGGGTGTCCCTTTCCACATACCTTCAGAACTGCCCATATCTGACAAACCGATGACCATGGATCGAGTTTCTCGGCATACACTCTTGGGATTTTGGAAGCTGGTGATCTACCTCAGTTTCCTGCGCAGCCATGATGTTTAAGGCTGGGATCACAATTCGAATAGTGTAGAGCACGAGTTGTGAAGTAGCATCACTAGTTCACTTGTCTGCTACTTCAACTCGAGCAACAACATAATCAGCCACTTGAACTGATGCTCCGCTTCCGTGCGACCACGATGATCTACTGAAGGAAGAATAATTAGTGGGAGAGAAGAGGGACCTAGTGTAATACCTTAATGCCTTAAACATCATTGTTAAGGGGACTAAACCTTGTCAACAACATACCGTCACAAACAGCTGGTTATCGTACAAAGATAAGGCGACATCGGCGAGACAGCTTCCTTGAGGTTTTCACAGCCCCACATCATAACCAGCTATTACTCCGCAGGTAACTCAGCCCCAACATACTAAACAGGCAGTCCGACTAGAAGACGACAGCATACACGTTATTGTTGCCTGTAACGTCTCAAGCCAGGCACGAGACGGATCAGGTGGACTCCCGGAAGACAGCCCCGAGTTTGGTCGTCAGTGATTTCATCTCCCGCTGCCAAGTCAATTTTTATCTACCTCGAGCCTTGCGCCACCCTATATCTGGTAGACTAAACAGTCCTCCTAGGTAAGCGGTGGCCGGACATACATATTACGCGCCGGCTTAGTTACACTGTGCTCAGAGCCAGCCGGAAGGTTTCTTCTGGATTCTAACAGATTCACCGGTCTCTCGGATATCCAGTGATTGATGCAGTGACAACTGATAGTGCCGCAAGCGGAGGCTCCTGCACGGTGCGTGGTGGTCGAGATCCTATTCTACCGAAGCTCTGTGTCACTAGGACAAGAGAGCAAATGTTCGATACGCAGTGGATCCTGGTGTGCGAGGGTCAATCGAGGGAGACACTTGACGCGCCTCTCGTTATAGGTCATGGAAAAATGACAGCTTACCAAGACATGATCAGAATCGACGCAAGTACTCCAGAAAAAGCAGTAATCTAGAATTGGAACCAGGCCACCTGTAACTTATGGCAATGGGAGTCTATCGCCGAAGTGGCACTTCGGCGTTCACTGTATCTAAAAGCGGTGCTACTAAGAAACAGCTGGCATTCCGCACACTGCTATAACAGGCGTTCGCCGTTGTCTGTACGGTCGGAGTTAAGTCGATACATACCGAATAGCAGAGCTTCTGATGAGCTCCGACGACCTACTTGTGCATTCGTATTATCTGCAAGAACTATGATATTTGAACTGGTAACGCTGCATAGTAGGGTTTTCAGTTCGTGGGAAGGTGTCCTTGAAAGCATAAGAATTACAGTCGGTAGGGGCATAAGCGGAAACCACAAACAAACAGTGTCTAGTGCTACTTCGTGAATCAACCTTACTTGATGTCATCACCAACTCGAACTATCCCCTCTCTAGCCAAGTGCGATTCTGCAATACTCCCATGCATTTGACTGCTGTAGTAAGTAAATTGTTTGCTATGGTTGATGTTAAGCAAATTATTTCAATTCTCATGCAGAGCATCACAGAAACCTGAAATGACACTCGAACTGGACTTATTCAGTACTGTCTTATCGATGCTGTTCCCGGGTCAAGGCAGAGTTCCCCTCGTCCTGTTCGATGTAGAAAACTGCTTTCCTTACAATACGATTTTCGCTGTTTCGGAGATGATCCTCCTGTTTAATTTCTTAGATTTCGCACTAAACATCTTTGAATCAAACTGCACATGTGAGGGATTGGTGGGTTTCCTAATGTATCCACTGATCCGTGAAAACTGGAAATGGTCTTTTTCTTCTTCCGATTTCATGGTATGCTAGTTGTTGACGGCCGACCTCAGGCAATGGAGTGGAACGTCTTCCATGCAGCTTCAAATATTTGGAGGGTCGTTCGCTATGTTCACTCCGATTAGCGTCGGCCTTGTTGATGACGCAACGGCCGCTAAGATACGAAGCTTTTTGGTTTCACTGTCTTTCCATTGAAAACGTACTAAAAGAATCAAATTACATTTCAGATTGGGAAGCAGTGGTCAAGTTGTCTGACGGCTTCAACGGCGCCGACTTGCGAAATGTATGCACAGAAGCCGGTAAGTCATGCGTTTCGTCTTCGTTGATGCTAGTGCGCGACGTATAGTACTCCTGAAAAGGCCATTTGGTAACCAAATTGAGGCCAATCAGTCTGTGAGTTAGCTTCTCACCCATCGAAGGGTTGAATCTCTTGACACAGGATGTCTGGTATCAGCGAAGTCATGTGTGAGGCGGATGAAACGCAAATCACTAACTCGCAGGGAATCAAAGACACATGCACTAAGCATTTTCAATCTCAGTTCAGTTGCTCCTCGCCGTCAGTGCACCCAGTTGCATATCGTGGGCAATGTCACTAGAACCACCCACCGAAACGAACGTTTGTCTTGAGATTCCACACTTGATATGCTTTAAGGCTACAAGCTCAGACGAACTTCTCCCAGAATTGTTCAAGTACAATGACACAGTAGCTGTCAATCCGCTAACATCCATGTTCCTGAAGATCTGGCAAAAAGAAAGGGTACTCACTTTTTGGGGAGAGTAAGCAGTTTTCTCAGTCTTCCATAAAGTTTCTCGTACTTCATGCGCTAATCACGAAGGGATCAGCCTAACATCGGTTGCCTCCAAGTTATTAACATACATCACGCTCCACAGACTAGCTCCAACGCGTGATACACCTGCCGGGAGGAGCAGGCTGGTTTCGCCCCCGTCAGGGAGGTGTAGATCAAATAATCACACTTCGTCAGCTACTCAAACATCCTCATCTCTCCCGTCGCCTTCATAGACATCGGGGCTGCATTTGACTCAGTAAATCGACTTACTCTATGACGATGCCTGCTAAACAATGGAGTGCTTGAAAAATACATTGCTATATCTCCATGCTTCAGGCGGGTCGAAGGCCTACAGCAGGTTTTCCGCACTTTTCCCTGTCACCAGTGGTATGCGACAAGGATGCTCTGTCTCCGTTTCTCTTCAACTTTGCGATCGAAGACGTCCTCTCGGGAGCTGCATAGTTTTGTTATCGAGCTCCTTCTAGATGATCGAGCAACCGACTAAGATTATGTTAACGATATCGCCTTGCTCGGTGACGACTCATTGTATAAAAGTGATCCCTAATCGACTGGCGGTTGAAGCATCTAGATATGGTATATACTTTGCCTCCTGTGAGTCTAAAGTGCTGTTAGAAGACTGGCAATTGCCCCCTCCACAATCCACCGTCAAAGGCATACAGCTCGAACACATGGACAGCTTTGTCTAACTAGGGAGAAGCATTTCTGCTGACGGCACTATTGGGGAGCAGGTGTCTCTCGATATCACTAAAGCCCGGTCGGATTTTGTCAATTTGTAGCATTTGTTATGTCGTCCCCGGTCCGTGCCCTTAAGGATCACAAGCCTGCCTTGTAATCTGTGGGTGCAGGTTCGAGCCTGTGTAGGGGTCCGGGCGACTGTCGTAGTATCCGCAGCCCAAGCGCAACTGGTGGTGGATGCGCGGCAACGAAATGTCGGTACGGCCTTTCTTCTTTATGTGGTGTCGTCGCGACATTTCGCTCTCGTTAAAGGGCAGGGTCTACAGTGCGCGATACTGTTGTATGGATGCGAATCCTGGACCATCTGTGTAGATGACATGCGTAGGCCTTTGACAGTGGTTGTTTTCGGAGGATCGCCCGTATATGGTTCAAACACTGGGTGCACAATTATGATCCCTGACACTGCGTTTTGGGTGAGCTTGTTCTGCTACGCCAACTGAGATGAGTTGGCCATGTCCACATGCCAAACGAGCGTTTACCACGCCGCGCCCTATTTGCGCTCCCACGGCCGCATGGAGGTCAGCCGACTATTTGGCGGTAAAGCATGAAAATATTCGTATCTTGTTTAGCATTTATTTAGTTTCCTAATTCCATGGTTTTGAATGGTTCGATGTCCTTTCCTTTAGAATGATTATATATATATATATATATATATATATATATATATAATAGCGGAGATAAGTAGTATTACTGAATCCGCGACTTTGATTGCTGTCCTGCTGCGATAATTGCCAAGGGAGTTTCCCCTACTCAGCATTGGATTGCCTCAAAGCAATCGGAGATAAATTGCTTAAATGGGTTGCTTGCTAAAATCCGCGCGAAGTAGCCGAGGATACCGACATATAATGCATTTCATGTCTTTTACGTAGGCCTACCTCACTGAGAATGAGGCCCAGCTTATGAAAACAACCCGTCTCGTGGCCAACTTTAGTTTGCGCTTCTTTATCTAAATGATTGATCGATTGTACGTAGGCACCTGATCGATAGCATATGAAATGAACCAAAACCAAACTGTTTTACTACAGTTCTTCTTCCTGCAATTTTTAAGGTGCCGCTAGGCCTTGCCACCCTTTTGATCGATTGAGTGTTTCCCTGTGCTGCATTTCTGAGAATAGCTTCAAAATGCATTTGTCCTTGTTCCCACATCAGGTATGTTTGCCATTCGGGCCGAACGTGATTACACAGTCGAAGAGGATTTCATGAAGGCGGTCCGGAAGATCAATGATGCAAAGAAATTGGAGACCAAATTAGATTACAAACCAGTTTGATTCAGTTGGATTTATTCACAGGCTGTCCGACGGTTAAACTTAAACCAATACATTTTTCCCGCACTGCGATGGGATACACGCCTATTTCATGTTCTCAAATTGTATGGTGAATGTCCGCTGAGTTGCCTACAGTATGGTAGCTAGCAGTTAGCGAGGTCTGCAGAGTAAGCGGACTTGGTGGTCCACACTGTGGCTTTTCGATTCGCGACGTTGCTGGTATGTGATCAGTACCGGGTGTAGAATAGTTCTCCAAGCAAGCGATGCGAAAATATAGTGACCCTGCAGTGTCGGCCGAGGGAACAGACAGAGCGCAAGGCATAAATTGGTTCATTAACCGGGGGCATTACAAAAGAGTAAATTTAGACGGTAATGACAATTACATTCTTTTAAAATAACTGACCACCTTCCGATCCAAATCGACTTAGGGCGGTATTCTAAACTCGTGAACTCTGACTCTTAAGGCGCGTGATAGGGGGCAGAGTGGCCCTCGATCTCGGATTTCGATTTAGCTGTATACCGGTTCGCGCATTTTAGTCGATTAGTAAACGCTAATTCCAACTAAAAGAACCATTCTTTGGCAGTTGTGGATCGTGCACCAAATGTACACCGACGGCCAATTACGAAAAAACATTATTATCCTTCGTTGTGTAATGATTTAGCGAAGGGGATTATGCCGCGCAACGATATTCAAATGCAATCCGGATGTCGGCGGAGTTTGGATTACCATGAAATTCGACACAAGACCGACTGCAATTGCAGAGGAATTCTTGCAGACAAGGTTATCCCAGAATCAAATAACCATAAGCCAGTAATGAAACCTGATAATGGATGGCCAGAGCTTTGACTAAAGTTGTGCAGTCCGTGACAAGATACCAAGCTGTGGTTCATGACACTGCCATAATAACCCAAAGGTGACTTGTAGGACAGTGGCAAGCCTGACTGACGGGCGGCGGCGAATCAAGGAGGTTTAAAGTTCTTTTACCAAAAGAGAGGCTTTCTAACAAGGATCTTTAACAAGACAACTACCGAGATTGGATGCGTAAACCATTGTGTCGCCAGTCAGACACGCTAACTACTGTCCTATACGATTGTTGATGATCTTGCGGCACGCGGTAAATTGCAGGTCGTTCATTCGCTGCATGGATGGCACAGAAGCGCCATAGTGGACATTGGCGTACTTGTACCATGAATGGTGTCCCTGATTTCGATGAATTAAGGCCTCCTGCGGGTGCGATGCATCGCCAAGTGCAGCGGATATTGCTCATACCGGTTACATCTCGCGGTTCGGTGCCGATGGTTGTGTATTTCACTAATTACATTGGTAATTGCTGATCACAAAGACATCCAAATGTACCACTTAATGATATCAGCTGTTTGCAGAGGTGCGAACCAGTTTTCCCATGAAAAGAGCTAGTGCACGAAGAAACTGTAGGATGTCAGGAAGCTAGTCACTGTATCTGACAAATACATGAATCAAGCCTTCTCGTTTTTACACTGCAGCCGCGCCCAATGAGGTAATTCTGCCATTTATAAACTACGGAGACAGCGGCAAATAGATTGAAGACTGGCGTAACCGAGGCAAACGTTGGCAATAATCTGGAAAGATCCCATGCGGACTATGGGAGATCAATGGCGCTTGGACTGGTGTCTGGTTACTCATCTCATTATCCTTGGACATAATGTTACTTGCGGTGATCTCTGAACAGTGCTCGCGGAGTTGGCATCATTTTTTTCGAGCTTGCGAATTCCTCCGTGCTTATCATCAATAGTCACTTATGGATCGAGCTTTGTATACGATAAATAAACGCGGTATTGGTTGTCAATATTCACTAAAAGTGTATTCAGACGGAAGCACCATGCGATAAGTTCATGCTCACATCGTTTACAGTGACGTCACGTATAGGGCATATATTTACATTTCCCAAACTGCAAATCATTGTACATGGGGAAAAGAGAATGTAACACAGGAAGGGGGGTTCAGGGCGAGTTGGAGGTGTCCACATTCAAGTGAACGAAAGACAATGACGGATCAGAATGTGAACATTTTCTTATCATCGAGACGTCTTTGCTTGAAAGCGCTGAGTGTACGCTCCGACTCGCGAAGGGTGCCGAGCTCTGATTTCAACGTTCCCAAGCGATGCTGCATTTGTGCCACCACGAAACGATCGCGACCGTCGTTACGTGCAATAGACTGTTGTATGTGGTGAATCTGCTTCAGAATGGAACTGATTTTCTCTTGTACTTTGAAATGTTCAATGTTGGGATTTTCAGTTTTGGAGATGGGACAGAATTGAGACGGACTCGGGGTGGATGTGTTCCCATGATCCTTATCGTCAGGGCGATGCATAACAGAGTTTAAAAGTTTGAACACACTTCCACCTGTGTAAACATCAGCTGAAGTGGGACGTGACTGTTGCAGTTCACCTGATCTTTGGCGAACGGATTTGCGTGGGTTACCAACCACGCTGTCAAGAGTAGGCCGATGATTCCATTTTCTAGGACGAATCTGGAATTTCTCTAATAAAAGAGCCACCGGGATTATGCGTCCTTGTCCATCCTTCCCCAATCCTTGCGTATGGTCATAGCCCAGCCTTCTCAGTATTTGCGAACCAATACCGCGAGTGTGAGCTTCCCACGCAGCAATATTGGAGTCAGGACCTAAATCGGCCTCCGTTACGGGATCATTGACTGGGATTGGTTCCAGAATTTGATCCGCGGACAACACACCACCGAATACAAATGGCACCTTGGCTTGTCGGATGGAGGTCGCGCCCTGAGAGAAGGAATAGTAAAGTTAGGTTCCACGTAATATCGATCAAAAGACTGACCGGCTCGACGGAAAATAACGGGAACTGTATGACAAATTACATAGAAAATGGGCAGGCCTATTAAATGCTTGGCGAAGACCTAACTAAAAAGTGGTACTTCAAGTGGAGGACAGGGATAAAATGATCTCACTAGGAGAACAGCACCGGGTAAGAATATAACGATGATAGACGCCATTCGGGCTGGCTGTCAAATTACTTCATCAACTGGTCAAATGTTCTAGTGGGACTGGATGTTAACGAACGATTCGCTGGACCTGTACTAAACAGCCAACTTAGCGTTCAACGTGTTTCTGTTGCGATTAGCCGGAGACCCATGTGTGATTTCGCTAAAAACGGTGTAGCACATCGCCTCGCCCCCCGGAGCACAGATTAGTGTTGTTATCCAATGAGCATGACGATCTCTGTGTTCGCCGTCCCCATAAAGTAGAAGGTAATACTGTGCATGACCTGGTGTGACTAGTCAGCCGGATTGGATATAGCATGGTGACCCATTCCACGCCCAAACTGAATCATAAATTAGTAACATTTTCATAGCCTAATGCCTCATCAATACACAGCTTTGAGAGATTCAACTCAATAATCGCTGCCAGTTTTAACATCCATTGGACACCCGGCATGGTCTCGGGTGATCTTACTTAGTGATTTCGTTGTAGCCCGATGGAAACGGCATGCAGTGATCTGGTGCATACCCGTTCAACCAATGATAAGACAGGACTGTGGTCGTGAATAAAAAGAGCGCCATCGACTTCTTGATAATATAGATTGAGCAGTGAGTCGGCATCGGGTCTGCCTAAGGCAGACCATGAGTGTTACCGAAGTACATAACCCCGAGCCTTTGGCCGAGTATCCTGCCCGCAAGGCAGCGGAGCGAATTCAGGGAATCACACCCATCAGAAGATGGTGACGGATTACTCAGTTCATAGGCCTTTCGTTTGTTGTTTGATAAACAACGGCCCAATGCTCCCATCTACATGCCTCCCGGTTTTATTCCTTCGGATTTACACCGGATATGGGGTGTGTGGATGGAGCTGTGGGCGGTGCGGCGCAAGTCACCCATAGTCCGTCTCTGGGTGCAGGCGTCTCGTGGCTGCCCTATAGAGGCCACAGTGACAGGCGAATCCGGAACCGGATGCCGCCAACCAAATAACCGTTAGCTCCAGGCTTCCAAGCACTTGCTGCTTACAATATCCAACATCCGTTTTTGCATTTGAGTAAAGGATTAAGTAAAGCGATCAGCAATTGCCTCTGGAGTCCAAGTACTCCACAAGGCTTCCTCGCTTTGAATTCGGAGTTCCGGGCCCAACAACTTTCGTTTCAAGTGTCCAAGCTGGACCACGGATCCCAAGAAAAATCGCTCCGGAACATCCGTTTGAAGTGAACAATCCTGGCAAGTAACTGACTAGCGATTAAGTTAATGATGTTGATGCATCACGTTCCGGTTCATGTGCTAGCCGTGAGAGTGAACATAGCAGTATTTCCTGTTCTTCATCCACCGAATTTAACTTAGCTGAACGTGTGAAAATCAGTGGTGTTGTTTGCATCAGTTAACTTAGGCGCACCATCTCCTTGCTAACTTGAAAACTTGCTTACTCTATATTCGTCATCTGCTTTGTGTCATCGGTACTATATCGACAATGCAAGTCGCTTGGGTACAGTTTCACTGTAGAATGATTAACTACTGACTTGGTGCCATAGAGTGTCTGTATTGCACATCTAACCTCCTTTACTGGACTTACTTAGCTCGGTTGCATTTCACGATTAGTCCACGTGTTGCGCACTTTGTGGATTGCAGTGCGGTGACATGCCGAGACGGTGAGCTCGGACATCTTCCTCTTTGTATTCTTATTCGTCCGCGATTCACACATCACTGTAACCTCCATGGTATTGCTCACGAGACTACACGAGGCAGCCTCTATTTTCTACTTAGATTCTGCTCCTTGAGATTGATTTGCAGATTACATGACCGTATCTCGACCAGCTGACTAATATTAGCACGACGCTTAGAGAGACGGTGCATCGCAGGATAAAAGTTCAGTCTATCCATGACCTCATTCGCATTAAGCGTGTGTGTTCGCTTCATTTGAATCAATTTCGTTGCGTCTTCCGATACGGATCTACGCTGGGATCGCAAATTATTGGGTTCGTTTCCAATCCCGGCTTACTCGTTTTGAGTCCGGTGTATACGCGTGAATCAAAGCCTCCAATCGCTTAGCCGCTTACAGTACCCATAAAACAACGCTTCCTCGCTTTGGTGTAAGGTTCGAAATTCGGGGCACAAGGTTCGAGAATTTTCCTTCGCATAGCCACCTTGAACCATGTATCCCAATAACATCGCCTTGGATAGTCGGTGGAGAGTGAGCAATCCCGGCACGTAACTGAGTAGCAATCGGCATGATGATGTTGACGATTCATGCTCTATTTCACATGTTAATCATGAGGATGAGAATAGCTATATTTCCCGTTTTTCGCCCGCTGTGCTTATGAAAAGGCAGCTACTACCGGGTTAGAAGCGGAAACACAAAGGCGCCTGCTAGAAGTTATTAGAAATGGTCATTCTTTCAGGTGGACTTCGAAAAAGGTAAGGTCAATTGTGACGGTACCTTAGTGCCTTAGTAAATTTCATCGGAAGGAAACAGTGCACAACGACGATTGTTTAGGAGCGCCGAATGGTTGCATCTGAGACGTACGGTGAAACATCGTTATCAAATAGCTTATCGCCACAACAGAGTACATAGCAACATCTGCTAACGGTTGAGTACTTGAGTGACAGCCATGCTTCTTCTTGGAAATTTGCTTACGAGTTCGAACACTTTCGAAAGCCGAATTTTTGACAGTGGGCAACGGGACTTACTTGATGTATCATTGCTTTGGACGTGCCAAAGAGTCCATCAGCGAATGTGTGGTATTACCACCTACCAATGCGTAAGGTAGAGCAAGAGTCGTTCTTCGGGAATCCGCACGTCCCTCGGACGGGAAACGATCGGACCAGCCCAATCTTAAGTGGCTGCATTCTCACGCTGTGCGACCTCCATCAATTGCAAGCCCGACTTCACATATAGGAGACGTTTTCTACATTACGTATTAACGACAAGTTCTCAAAGTTTTACTGTACTTCATATTTTTGTATCATTCCACCTGGTAACCGTATTAATGACATTTGCTTCTCTATTCTCCTATCTCTCTATTGTTGATACCCACGCTTCTGACTACATTTAAAGTTATCATTTAGGCTCAATTCTAAATGTTAAGTAACTACCGACTTATTCTCGTGCGTGCGCTTTCCCATAACTTGACGAAGATGGTCGTTAGTCTTACCTCCCATCCCAACCCATATACGTTCGTATTAATATTGTCCATGAGGGTTAATGTTTCTCTATTCGGTTTGTGGCTGTCCATACACAAGCGTGGACCAATACATGTGAGTGCACGTGGTTATGCTGGGTCTGAAGTCCCATTGGGCAGTTGCCAAAATCGAGGCTGACGAAGCACCTTATATGCTCTGTCGTCTCAGTCAGGCTAAACTTGACTGACTGTCTGTCGGACGTGCGCTTGAGTTATGAAACCCGTGTGATATGCAATGCCCGGCTGCGCTTGATGTGGATATTGACTAGGTGCCTACCTCGATTATAGTGCCTCCAGGATACAGTTGGTCATTGTTTGGAGAGACGGGGTGCACATTCCTCGTGACCGTAGTAGGCTCAGAGTGCTCCATACATCCAATGTGGAACGGACTACGGCCCATCCACCGCCTTGTGTACGTCTGGTACGCATGATTCCCCAAACAGACATGAATGATGCTGTGCATGTTGAAGGAGTGCGGGCCGGCCCCGCTGATGAAACGTGGCTTCCATCCGCATGCCTCTTGGTGTTATTCCTTCGGGTTTACACCGGATATGGGATGTGTGGGTGAAACTGTGGGTGGTGCACGCGTCCTGTAGCTGTCCTATGGAAACCACAGTGGCAGACATATTCGGAGATGGACGCCGCCAATCCACATAATAAAGAAGACAGAAGTTCAGATTATAAACCGGATGTGCAAACTGATTGAACGACTCGGCACCGGTTGCTTCCCCCTCCGCGAGAATTGGACTAGTTTCCACTAAGCTGAAAACAAGAACGCCCAGTGGATGAAATGTCATGGAGATACTGAACATTAGTTTGTTGCGTGCAGACTGCTAACCACCTGATGAGAGTATTATCCTGGGGTGAACAGTGTGGAATCTGCGAATTACTTAGCATCATAGCCCCAAAAGAGAACATCTCTGTGCCACGTTGAACAGAAATCAAGGGACGGGAGAATACGGAAAGCAGAAAGTTCAGGAGGCGCCTAGTCGAGATGAAATTGAGAAGCGGGTGCATATAGATGAACACCTTTCATTGGTGCAAAACAGCAAATGTCTCCGGTTAAACAATACTTGGAAATAAGGTAAAACCGAAGCCCCTTCCAAGTCATAAACTTCAGACGATAATGCTAAGCAAGTTGGAACAGACGTCAAGTATCGCGTTTACGTTGGCACCTCAACGCCAATTTGGTTTTTCATCATGCGAAGGACGACCCTAGCCTTGATCAACCAAAAATGAGACAAATGGGAGCGAAAAAGATGGGATAGAAAAGGTGTGGCAGAGCCTCCGACTGTCCACATTCGGGTGGTGCATGTCCAATCATTATTGCCTAATAGGCGTAATGTTGGCATAACAGTGGTAACCTGATTCTTTTCCGGTGAAAGGAGGTGAGATGGGGACGGGAACATAACGCAAACCAACTTTCACTTGGTAACTAAAGTGAGGTTTTCGCAGGCCATAATACTGCACAAGGAATTGTTAATTGAATTACAAAAGGAGGACCCACATTAGTATCGGCGTTCCGACGAGATTCAGACGAGGATGGTTGGCATGAAATCGAGATGTGTTGGCTTCGATCATCAACAGAGGGCCACTCAAACTCCTCCGATTCGTCCGATTCGGCATCATCATACGTATATTCACTGGGGGTAGTAGGTGCCTGATCCTCCACGTCAAGTTCGTCAATGTCCAACAAATGCACCAAATCCATGGGGACAGAGGTTACAGAATTTTCTAGATTACCGTAATCTTTGGGAATGTTTGAGCTAGGTTCGAGGCTCGGGGATTTAATTCCCCAACGAATGACGCAACATTGCGACTCCAAATCTGTGTGCAGGATGCGCGCATGGCGCCATAGACCATGTGCGGATTGAGCGTCTTTCACAAGGCACGGCTGACCTTCCCGAAGAAAACCTTCGGCATCAGGTTCCCTCCAATCGTGGATTTCCTGCCATGTAGGTTAAAGAAAAAAGCGATGATTTGGTAGCCATTTGATAACCCAGTTACTGGTGATGGATACCTGTCCAAGAATAAAACACCCCGAAGGCTATGAGAAACACTGACGCATACTTCCCAGTTATGGCGTTGAATTCCCTATGGTCGACCAACTGCTCCAATGCTGCAGCTTGCACAACTTGATAACTGCATATACCTTGGGAGCTGCTTCTCTGCTGATGGCATCATTGGAAGGTGTCACGTATGCACATGATTGGTTGAGAATGAGATTACCTTACTTTCTTTATTTCATTGGTTTTCTCTTCCGGCTTTTCTAGCCGGAATGCTTTTAGTAAATCGGTTCCATAGTACGCGTGCGCGTTCTGTTTCGTTTATCGGCTAAGGACCATAACATTCTGGTGACGAGGTTAAACTACTGCGATTTTGCACCCTTCTACACTACTGTGGAAAATTCCTTCTGATAAACAAAAACCGGCTACCTGGAACCACACTTTTTTAAATATTGGGTACTACTACCCGTCTTGAAACCAAACATGGTACTCTCAGAGAGTCTCAAAATTAAATTATTGCGACAATTTATGGGGGATGAAGGTCAAAGACATTTTGTTGCCCTCCATGTTGGTAAGAAGGAACAGTAACAGCGCACTAGAAGTCATCAGCGGGTTATGGGGTTCACGACTGGACACACATTGCGCGGTATTTTTTATCGATCTTGCCAAAACCCTGAAAAAAGTGGCTGATTTCATTACGCGGATTCAGTAAGCCCTACCAGAGTGTCCGTTTAGTGAAATTCCATTTACAAAGAGGCAATGGCTTGATGAGAGACTAGGAAAATTGCAGATATCAGGCTAGTATCAAATTACGGCCGGGAACTCAGCCCCGCTTTTTCAGTGCACGTATGTTACGGAAGACGAGATAAAGAGATTGCAATCAGCAGGAACAATCGAGCCAGTCCAATACAGTGTGGGGAGCTCCAATAGTTCCAGTCCTGAAGCCGGATGGTTCTGTGCGTATTTGTGGTGACTATAAACTAACTGTTAATCGTTGTTTAATTTTGGATAAGTATCCCTTACCTCGGATAGAGGATCTGTATGCTACGCTGATAGGCGGACAAAAGTTTACACAGATCGACCTCAGTCACGCGTACTTACAAATTGAGTTAGACGAGACCTCTCGCTCATGCACTACGATAAGTACACACATGGGTCTATTCCAGTACAAACGTCTGCCCTTCGGAATCAGTTCGGCCCCAGCGATATTCCAAAGGATCACTGACAACCTGATCAAAGATATTCCTTTCACTTGCGCCTATCTTGACGACATTCTAATTACAGGAAGTACAGATGCTGAACATTTACAAACGCTATCCACTGTGCTCGAACGTCTACAACTGAGTGGACTCAAACTGAAGAAGTCCAAGAGTACGTTTTTCTCAGATTCCGTTCGTTACCTTGGTTACCGCCTCGATAAAAACGGATTACACGTGTTAGAAGACAAAGTAAAGCCCATCCTTGTCGCACCTGAACCCAAGAATGAAGCTGAACTCCGATCGTTTTTAGGGATGTTTTCTCACTATCGTCGCTTCTTACCTAACGCCTCAACAGTATTTGCACCCTTGTACGAACTGTTGCACAAGGGGAAGTCCTGGACTTGGGTCCGGATCAAAGAAAGGCCTTCACAGATGCAAAAAGGGTGCTCAGCGCCTCCCCGTATCTCGTGCATTTCGATCCGAGCCGGCCTCTAGTGCTGCAGTGTGATGCTTCCCCACGCGGAGTAGGCGCAGTCCTTTGCCACCGGACGGATGACGGTTCTCTTCGTCCAATCGTTTTTGCTTCTCGTACTATGTAACCCGCTGAAAGGAATTACTCCCAACTGGACAGAGAGGCCTTAGCGATTATTTTCGGAGTCAAGCATTTCCACCAGTACGTCTGGGGAAGACAGTTTGATATCCACACCGACCATAAACCACTTCTTTCGCTTCTGGGTGAGGAGAAAGGAATCTAACAGATATCTTCGCCTCGAATGCAAAGTTGGGCACTACGTTTGAGCGCCTATAACTACAAACTTCAGTATATAAACGGACCAAATAATATCATTGCCCATGCACTTAGTTGGTTCCCGCAGCAGCATGCCACAAAACGAATAGTGAACCCATGGAGTTTATCAACTTGATGCAACATCTTGAAAAGACACCCATCCGGAGTGATGTGGTGCGGCGCCTGACGGACCGGGACCCTGTGTTGTCGATGGTGAAACGGTTCTTAATGACTGGATGGCCTACAAGCACGTCAGACGAACTGAAACTATTCGCCTGTCGGAGTAATGAGTTTAGTCTATACGACGGCTGTATATTTCGAGGCTCCACATAGTTCCACCAGAACTGCGATCCAAGTTGCTGAGAAAGTTGCATGACGCACACCTCGGCGTGAACAGGATGAAGGCGCTGGAACGTGGCTTCTGTTGGTGGTCGAACATCGACCAGGATATAGAGCGGCTGCTGAAAACACTGCGGAAAATGTCCGAAATACCAAAGGCAAAAATCTCCCGGACCGATAGGTCCATGGCATTGACCGGAGAGGCCCTGGCAACGGGTACACGCGGACTACTTTGGCCCAAGAAATGGGTTGATGTGCTTACTTTTGATTGTTGCCCATTCTAAATGGATAGAAGTAAATTCGGTTCCACATACGACTTCCGCAGCAACAATTGCAAAAATGCGCACCATATTCGCCGTTTTCGGTATCCCAGAGACGGTATACACTGACAACGGAACCCCATTTGACCATTCAACAGTTCCTGAGTAACAACGGAATACAGCACATTAAGTCTGCGCCGTACCATCCCGCGTCGAATGGAATGGCAGAACGTGCAGTCCAGACTGTTAAGCAAGGTCTCCTCAAGCAGACTCATGGAACTCTACAAACTAAGTTGGATCGTCTCCTGTTCTCTTACCGCACGACACCGACTGAGTCGACAGGGAAGTCACCCGCGGAATTAATGTTTGGTCGGCCACTACGAACGAGACTGCACCTACTTTTTCCGAACCCTCGAAGGAGAATGGAGGAAAAGCAGGAGAAAATGTGTGTGGATGAAAAGATGCCAGAGGAAATGTGTCTTAATGATTTTGATCCGGTATACACAAGACTGCCTCACGAAACAAGCTGGCAACCTGCTACACTCATGTCCTCAACGAGTAACCAAGCGAAGCTACAGCTGGAGGACGGCCGTGTGGTGCGTCGCCATTTTGACCATATCCGGCCACGCTCAAACGAACCACAGGAGCGGGATCAAAAAGCGACTGCTACTGACCAAAAACGGACGGAGATCTGCTTCACAAAACCAGGAACCACAAACGGATGCGGTACAACCACAATTAAGACGCTCAAAACGCACGCCTAAGCCAATTGATCGGTATCAACCCGGAGTCTGCAGTCTTGACCAGGGAAGAGAGGGGTGTCACGTATGCACTTGAGTATCGATTCGTAAACACATGCCCTCACATGATTGGTTGAGAATGACCTTGCCTTACTTTCCTTATTTCATTGGTTTTCCTTTCCGGCTTTTCTAGCCACTGTAACGCAGGATGCTTTTAGTAAATCGGTTCCATACTACGCGTGCGCGTTCTGTTCCGTTTATCGGCTAAGGGCCATACTTAACAGAAGGGAGGTTTCTCTCCATATTGCATCTGAGTCGCCGTCATGACGTCATTCTTGGTAAAAGGCAGGGTTGCGGCACAATAGCGGAGGTGTCTTCCCACCTCTAGCTGATGTGTATAATGATGATGATGATGATGAAAAGGCAGGGTCTACAATGCCTATGTTCGTGCAGTGCTTCTGTACGAATGTGAGTCCCGACCGATTTGCGTTAACGACTTGCGTCGGATTTCGGCTTTTAACAACCCTTTTCTGCGGAGGATAGCTCGTATGTGGTGCGAACACCACGACGCGTCCTAGGTAATACAAGCTTCATTCAAGCCAAGCTAATATCGCTGCGCCAAGTGGCTAGGCCACGTCCTACGCATGCCGTGTGAGTGTTTACCACGGCGCGCTCTATTCGCTCGCGCAGGGCCGCACTGAAAGAAATCGCGCGGTGGTCAACCTATCACATGACGTCAAGACGCTGATTCCCAGTTTAGCTGTTGTCGGTACTGTACTATTTCCGGGCTAGCGAGTCAAAGATGAAGAACACTACTGGTTGGGAACCCGTTGAAGACATGATGCAGAATCGGGCACGATGGAAGATTTGCATGAATTTGTGCACTGATTCTACTTATCAAGGCCGTAATCATTAAACAGACAAAAACGTGTGAAAAAACCAAAAGCTTTATTTGTCTGTTTCCCACGTTGTGATCTTTGTACTTCTAGTGGACGTTTATTTCACGGTTTTCGACAGTCCTATGTCTATTCTACAGACTGTTGCTAACATTATTACAGTCAAACCTGTCTAAGGCGACCACACAAGGGACCGACAAAAGTGGTCGCTGTGTACAGGTGGTCGCCATAGACAGGTTCATGCATATGGACATTACTCGTAGGAGAAAAAGTTGGGGATGTTTTTGGCTGGTCGCCATAGCAGGATGGATGATATTATGGTCGATCAGGTACACGTGAAGAGGAATTTGTGTGCGTTTTATGTAAATACGACGATTAAGGCTCGCGCACGGATCAGCGTAAAAACGCTGCTTCTGTGTGACACTACTCGTGCCTCAACTAGCGCGGTCAAAGAAACAATTTAAGGAAGAATCATTCTGTTTGCAGAATCTTCTATGGTGTTCCATCGAGCTAAACAACCGAAATTCGACCGAACAGATTTAAAGTGCGAAGAAATGAGCAAATGTAGACAGTTGGAAAGGACAACGGGTACGACGGAGACAAATACAGGGGCGCTATTCGCCCATTGCTCGTGTCATATCATACGGTCCTCAACCATTGAGGTGGTCTGACTTTGAGCCGCCATCCACAAGGGCAGCATGCATCAATTTGAATGCGTGCT